GGAGCTGATGGGCAAACACAGCTCATCTGTGCCTGATGCTGTCCAATGGAGACTTTCTGGAAATACCACAGAGGCAGGAGCAAAATTTGCCTTCCTTCTCTGGCCAGCCCCACCTTGACTGGCACAACTCCCCCTGGCTAAGCCACATGGCTGGATCAGTGAATGACACCTGTCATGTTTTCTGTAAGCATTACACAGATTAATTCACTTAAACTGCATGCTGACCCTACGCCCATGTTAGAGATGAAAACAAGGCTGAGGGAGATCAAGTAAAATTTCCAAGGCTTCACAGTTAAAACAGCAGATTATTTACCTGGAAGTCTAAAAAACCAAAAACAGGATTGCTTCAAGGTGATCTTTTTTCAGGATGAGCTATCTTACAACTATGCCCTTATATTAATGGATGAATGGTTTGCTATAGGGCATGGCGGGTGTAGGGGCCCTGATACACTAGGTGATAGATGAGAGTAGCCATCACAGTGGTCCAAGCCACTGAACAGAAAAGGGAGTGTAGAGCATCAGGAGTCTCACTGGCTGTACAGAAATCCAGACAATCTTTGTCCTTTATATATCTACCATAAAACTGTTGTCAAGCATTTACATGCATTGTGTAAACGTTTGTGTGCACAAATATATACATGCTTGTAGGGTGCGGAAACTGTTTTTTTTTTTTTGTCACTATGATTTTTCAGAGGTAAGCTATGTAAACTTCAGCAGTGTCCCTCGTTTGGGGCAGATCAAAGCCAGTGCTCCTCCCACTACCCAGTGCTGCCTCTGTGTCCCAGAACACTGACTGGAATTCTCACCTGTTCACACTTAACCTGCTTGAACCTGCATCAACTCTGAGTGCTGCCCCTGCACATATCCCCCAGGGGCCGGGCCCACACACCAGGCATGGTGCCTGCTACTCACTGCAGCAGCCAGAAACATGGAGGAGGCTTCCCTCAGAGATGTCCCAAGGGTTCCCATAGCCCAGGAGGGAAAACCTTGACTGCCTTTCGCCCACAGAAACTTCTCCACTGGACTGAGGCAGTGGGCTGTTTAGGGATACAAGAAGCTGGTGGCTAAGAAGGAGACCAAGCATAATATGCCATTTATTAAGAGTATCAATGAACCTCTTGAAATCACTAAAAATCATGTGAGTTATCCTATTTTTAGTAAGAGCAACAGAATTGAATATGCTTCCTTTTTTTTTTCTTTAATTTAGTGAACTTTCTCAGGAAGAAAGATGAGAGGAAAAGTGAAAATTGAATTGCTAAAAGACAATGATTAAACTTTTTTGCTATAAAAAAATATATTTCTGAATGTTGCTTTTCCTCAACCCCCTAAAGAGACTGGGAATCTGTCTTTTAAGTACTAAAACTTCCCAACTAGAAAATGAGCTATAGTATATGTATTCTTCCTACTTTTACTTATAATATCTATGCATTTACTATTTTTCTTTGTTCAGAGAATCCAAAACTAAAAGATTTTTACATTTTTTAATAAGCTTCCACATACCTAATGAAAACACTAAGGGAAAAATTCTGCTAAGTAAGAAGGTCTCAAACAAGACTTGGGTTCAGAAATCAGGACCCTAGCCCTCATCATCTGGCATGACACTTAAAGTGGGAGGAGTTAAGAGCCACACAGAGCCAGGTCCCACCCCAGCTCTGTCACTTCCAGCAGAGGACCTTGGGCAAGTCCCCTCCCTGTTGTGTCTCATGCCCTCATAAATGTAAGGCTGTCGTGGAAGCTAAATGCAACATGATACAAAAGAATTCTGTAGAGCATGGCCAACAGCCCACAACAGGAAGCTATTATGGTTTGAAAATTAGACCCCAAATAATCAAACTCATCCTTGGTTAAATTAAAAGTTAAAACCAAGGGATACAGTTATTAACAGCAAGAGACTTGAGAAATTAATGATTTTTGAGCTTTTGTCATAAAGCTTTGGGAACACAATGCCCTGGGCTGGTCTTTACACTTGTTAAAGAGATATGGATAAAGGCTGGAAAATATCTTTCAGTGAAACATCTTTTTTTTTTTTTTCCTTTTTGTCTTTTTTACGTGACCGGCAACGGGATCCCAACCCTCGGTGTTGCGCCCGCAGCTCACTCAGCCAGTGAGCGGCCAGTCTGTATGTGGGATCCGAACCCGCGGCGGGAGCGCCACTGTGCTCCCAACCACCGGGCTGGCCCCTCAGTGAAACATCTTGAACATGAACATTAGCCATGCTGAAGAAGAAGGTCTTTTCTTGTCAGATTTATTCTTACTCTCTATCTTTTCATAAGGTGAGTAACTTGTTTATCATCCCCTCTCCTGGGCCATAGGACTTTAAGCACAACAGTTAGTCATTATGTAATCTTTAACCTTGAGAATATCTTGCTTGTTTACCTGTTTGTTGTAGAAAAGTCTCTTTATTCACTGTATGCTTATTATAGGAAACTGAATTTTAAAATATTTAATCCAGTGACACAGACTTTATTGATCTCATTATAATGAGCTCAACCAGTATAAATACTGTTAGGATTTCCTTGGAGTTAGGAAAAATCATCTCTTTCCTCCTTGAATCAATAATGATACAAATAAAAAATAAATTATCACTAAAGCAAAAACATGTTTAAAACACAGTGCCGAAACTCAGCTTGTTCTCTTGACAATATTATTACGACCAATGCTTCCCATCCCCAATATTACTGTGTCATGACACCTGGTAACACTGGACAGGTAACTCCTTAGAGCTGCCACTCCTCCTTTCTCAGGTGGAGACAGCAAGCTCCCGTGAGATGACCACTCATGTGGCCAGGGCAGCACTGCCTGGTATTTGATTCAGGTCCAGTGAAATGCAAGTATGGGTCCCCAAGAAAAAGAAGGGAAGTTCCCTCCAGGGTGCTCAGAGGCTGCTTTGGCCAAGTAACTCACAGTCTGGGAGGGGCAGATGACATTTATCATAAGCCTGTTACCTCCAGGCCTGTCTGAGCTTGCTCGTGTCACCCCAAGACACAGGTGGTAAGAATAATTAACCCATTTCTCACAGCTGGGGACATGGAAGCTCCGTGAGGTCAGACCCCCCCCCCCCAAGGCCACACGAATGAGCCACACTGAGACAGATGGAACGTGTCAGAGCCCAGCTCTCTGCACCCCACCTTGCATACCCACCAGTTTCATGACCTTTCCTTCTCCTTAGCTCTTTGTTCACATCCACAGACTCACGACCATGTAGGAAAAATGTTGACAAGGGAAAGCTTATGCTGTTGGCTGGTGGCAATTGAGCTTGTGTTCCCAGGCAGTAGGCATAT